GACTTCTCCTGGTTGGATTTTTGGACTGACTTGCAGAATGTTCTTTTGTATGTCTCACCAGTAATAAATAACCACTGTTGGGTTGGATGGCAAGACTCTTCTCATCCTTGTGATGACTCCCCCAGGTGCTTCCCCAGTTCCAGACACAGCTGGAGGGGAGTTGGCCAATGGCTCCAAGCAGCCAAATAGAGAGGTATTTAGCTGAAGCACAGCTATAGCAGGACAGCTCTGAGTCTTCGGTGGGAAAAGCACACAGCTGCAGCCAGTCAGTGATGAGGATGAACTGCATTCTGCACCTGATCCAAGAACACAAAGAGCAGAGAAAAGGCAGGAGCAGCTAAGGTCATCCTGATAACTCATGAGGAGGCCATCTTGCCTCTCTTGATGGGCTGCACCAGAAGCTGGCTATTTAGCACAGCAGACAAATGGAGGCGATGCTGGGAACAACATGTTCCTTGCCTGGTAGTGTGTTTCCTGGTTGTGATTGCCAACTTGCTTTGGATTGGCACCGTGCCTTGACTTGGATTGTGCCTTGTGAACTTTGAATATATCTTGCCTCATGAACCATCTTGTACTGTGGATTTCAGTTTGCCTGGTTGGTTTGTTTTGTTTGGAAAATTTTCAAATGCCTTGTGGACTCATTGGCCACTGCTCTGTAGACAAGCATTGGTCTGCCTTTGGTTCAGACTAGCATTGGTTTGGACATAATTGGGACAGTTCTGGGTTTTTGCTAAGGGAAATTGCTGGCAATATTAATAAACTCACTAAACCACTGGTATGAGGTATTTATGTGAGGGAGTGGGACAGCACAATCCTTGACTACTAAGATAATATGCTGGTTCCTGTGGGATAATCTGATGAAAACTAACTTGAATGGATTACAGATAGAGGAGGTGTGGGGGTGGATATGAACAAGAATGTGTGACCTTCCACTGGATATGACCATTAGTACAGCTAGCCCAATATTATCTTCTCTTGATTAGTTGTATCTTTCAGAGTAGAATATTTTTCAGTCCTATCCGAACATGAACCGAATCTGAGATCTTTTGCATGCAACTGTATCCTATTTAAAGAAAAGTTATGGTCCAGAGTGTATAATTAAGATGTTTGGATGCTTCCTTTTTCTGAATTGTGTTTTTACAAATTGCACAAACATGGGTATTTTGTCTTTGCAGCAGTATGCATGCTTTGCTTTATTTACTAGACAATAAACCATAATGATACAAAATGCCAGGAAATCAGTCACCATCACAACATTGTCACTGGTCATGCACATGAACAAGAGGAATAAATTCCCCATCCCACTGTAAGTCAAATGGGCATCTAATTCATTAGTACATCTATTATGGATCAAAATCTTTTATTCTGAAACCAGCTATATTTGTAAAAAAAAATGAATTTCAGCAGTAGTTGTGAATTGTAATTCACTCATAATACAGTTACTCTTTAAATAAGGACGTGGATTTGGTTTTGCCAGATGCTGTGCTCTACCAGGAATGTATTTTGTAAGAGTTATTTCTCCTTAAAAAGTACTTCTTGTTCAGGTCATTTTTTTGTTATCAGAATCCTTATTAGAGATAAAAATGTTCCTGTAAGAAAGGCATTCATCTTTTGTTGATTTGCTATAGCTTTAGTAAATGCTAGGTTTGTATTACAAAATAGTTGTTTTATGTATGCCAAAAAAACAGAAGTCTTGTAGCAGCTTTTCCAACTAGCAAATTTTATTAAAAGGCCTAATTTTCATGAGCTGCAGGTTATATGTGAGGCAGACCCAATTAACAATTGTAATGTATTAAAAACTCATTATGTTTGTTGAGACATGTTGAGATAATCTGAAACACTTTGATGAATACAAATTCAGCCATCTCCCGCTTAATCATTTTGTTAAAGTCTCATTTTTCCAAAACGGTCACTTTGAGGTCTTCAGTAGTATGTTCTAGGAAGCTGAAATATTCTGATATAACTTTGCCCTTGTTTTGAGCTCTGATGTCAAATTTGTGCCCATTCATTCTTCATGCAAAGTTTTTCTCATTGATCCTATGTAGAATCTGGAAGCACATAGTTATGCATGGCAATTGGTAGGTTACCTGTAAAAAGTGATGTCTATGTCTCCATTGTGTAGTTTTACCATGACACCAAAGCGGGAATTAACTACACTTGCTTTTGCATGGGAAACACAGAACTGGTTTAATGTCAACTGTCCAGAAACTCCTGGGACATTATTTTACCAAGAGTATAAAACTTTTACTCAATAAACCACATTGGCACAGGACAAGCGAAACCAGCTCTGGGATTCCTGCACAAAAGCAAGCATAGTTGATTCTCCCTTTTTCCCCTTATGGGCCACTCACAGTCTAAAACATCCACCAATCTCTTCAGTTCATTTTGTTATGGGAGACAACCAGCCTGACTACCTGTGTGGTTGTTGTGATTCTTGCCTTGCTGTGGACTGACACCATGACTTGAATTGGATCGTCTTGTGAACTTTGAACTTTTCTTGCCTCATTAATCCTCTTGTATTGTGAATTTAATTTTAGCAGGTAGGTTTTGATTGGGAAACTTTCAAGTGCCTTGTGGACTCTTTGGCCATTGCTCTGTGGACTAGTATTGGTCTGCTTGTGGCTGGACTTAATTGAGACAGTTTGGTGATGGGAATATTAACCCACTAAACTGTGTGTGTGTGTGTGTGTGTGTGTGTGTGTGTGTGTGTGTGTGTGTGCGTGCGTGCGTGTGTGTGTGTGAGAGAGAGAGAGAGAGCACAACAAAAGAGCAATGTCATTGTCCAGTATGAAATGTAGCTTATGAAGAATGCATTTGACCAGTTTGGGCAGGTGCTGCAGATAACCAGTGGTATTCTGTGTTCTGTCTTTGAATAGGTCTTTTCTGGAATCATTCTGACTCTACTAATTTGTCTATTGATCTCATGGAATGAGTAGTTCAGTCTCCTAAATATCCAGTTTAATTCTAGTACTTGAGCATTTCTGCCTAACAGGTCAAAAAAAATGTAGTTGTAGCATAGAGCCTAGCTTGTAGACGATAGATTTGGTAGAGTGTTCTGGATGGAATCTAGAATCATATGCAGGTATATTGTACGTGGCGATTGTACGTTACCTGTAAAAAGTGATGTTTATATCTCCATTATGTATAGCAAACTTCAAGGTAGCAGACCTAAAGATGTTGACATATTATGGAGGTATGATATATCCATGGGTATACCAGTGATTTGTAGGCATTTGTCATTGCCAAAAGTGAAATATTTATGGGTGAGACATGCAGTCTGGTTGCAAGATGTGCTCTGTAGGGACCAGCAATCATATTCTTGATGGTTCCTTTATACAGGGTCGCAATATCCATATTGGATACAATTGAGTTATTAGGGAGACTGGAGTTCAATTTTGTTACGAAGTCTATAGTGCCTTTTGTGTAGCTGGGGAAATGTTTTCTAAGCATCAAGATCTTCTCCATTGACTTTTCTCCAAACATTTAAGTTTTAGCTTTATTATTAAAGACCAGCCTTTCTTTCTATCGTGTGCTCTCACAATGTCTGTTTTGCGACTCCAGTCATCCTTACCCAGTTGCTACAACTGAAGTCAAATCTCTCTGCATGCAATACAGAGCAGCAGATGGCTCAGTGAAGATCTTGACACAATGGCTTTTAAGCTATCATTTGCTTGAAAGGCAGAGAAAGAACACTCTTGGCCTTGAATTCAGCAATTTCAAAATTGGGAAGGGAGGAATTCCATAATTTTGCTTACATTGAAATCATCTGACATTTGGGGAAATATGGATTACTTAGTATGGACTCAGCTCCAAGCCTGGAAAATAAACAAGCAAAAGACAAGTGAGGAAAGGAAAGGACACACACTCTCTATCCATTCATTGTTTTTCTGTCTTCCTTGAATATAAAGATTAATCTTCATTTTATTCTTGTCATTATTACAAGACTGGTAAAAGCATGTAGAACAGGGGTCTCCAACCTTGGCAACTTTAAGACAAGCGGACTTCAACTCACAGAGTTCCTCAGCCAGCTGGCTGAGGAACTCTGAGTTGAAGTCCGCTAGTCTTAAAGTTTCTAAGGTTGGAGAACCCTGATGTAGAAGACAGACTCAAAAAACCGCAAACATCGCACTCCCAATACAGACAATAGCCATGATTTGTATTTTTAGAATGCCTTCAAGGCAACGTACAATGACAAAATTTACAATGCTTATGTATTTTGTTACTTACATACAATCTGGGAGGATATTAACAATATAATGAAATGAGATTTCACAGTGTTGAGTTGTAGTTTTGAATTTAGTTTTGAATAGTTTGAACTGTAAGTCGTTGATTGAGGTGGGTGGCTAGAGCAGTCAAATAAACAAATAAATACATCCCAGAAAATGGGGAAAAAAATCATTTTTGAAATCTCAGTGGAACAATACTACTTTGAGTTATCCCATGTTTTTAGAATCCAAAAGGAAATAACTGAATGTTTGATGCCATAGACCAGGGTGAGGGCTCTTTGCTCTTAGTTTCTCTTGGGTTAAAAGTTGAGTTCTTACCTACCTAGTTAAGCTCTGACTGTATGGAATGCTCCGCTTCCCTCTCATCCTTCCCCAAGATAGCCCCCTTGTAGGGAATGGGGTTAGTCTTATGGCATGGATGTGAGAACCCTAATCTGCCTTTGAAAATCCTTCCCCCAAATTTAATCACACATGCAAAGCAGCCCTTTCCTTTATGTGGGGGTGGGGTGGGGGAATTAAATAACTGCCATATACTAATGACCTATGTAGTAATTGCTGATTGCAACATGTTCTTTTTGTTTGTTTGTTGACAATAGAAGTGGCTTATTAAGAAATATTGCATTGTCCCCATCTCCAGGGATTTGCAGCTGCTGAAGCAATTAGAAGCCTTCCTGAAAAGCTCCCATAGATCCCGTCAACCAATGGAAGTGTATTTGAACTGTAAACAGAAGCTGAGGTTACCATGGTATACTCTTCTGCCAACCAGCAATTGATATTCTTGGCAAATAGCGTGTCTGGGGAAACACACTGTTCCCTGACTCCTTGGAGCAAAGTAACTTTCCTTCAATCTGACTTTTCCAAGTTCTTTTTCCAAGCCGAAGGATTTGGATCCCCAAATTCACTCGAGGAGGTATGTTCAACAATTGGTTTCCATACTTTATTTAGTGACTATTGGTATTGAGATTTTTTTGATATTTGCTCAAAATGCCCAACAAGATGTTCTCACCGGATGTTAGGCAGAGTGACAAACCTCTTCAGGTGTGCCTAAATTTCTCAGATGTATTTGATTACAAATTGAAGCCTGGAATTCGGCAGTCATAGGCCCAGACTGTGCAATCTCAGAACCGCAACTTGGCTTGATGCTTGCAGTAGAAAAGCTGTCAAAAATAAAGAGCAATGCAGCCCAGTAGGAAAGCTCTAATAATGGATTTGTCAGATTTTTGTGGTGGTATAATAACTGCTGTTTTTTAGAATCTTTATATGACATGCTTCTGCTATTAACTCTGGATTCTGTTCAGTTTGAAACTAATTATTGCACTGCTTTATTTGGGTTTGTATTCTGAAAGGCAACCTAAAAGGATTATTAAATACATGGTTGTTCAAATAACTCTGAACTTTCGAAATGGAATTTATAGGATATTTTATAGTCAGCTATTCTTAGAAATTACCAGGCAGGATATGGAGATTCTCTGACTCAGTAGCTCGATGCCATAGTGTGTGGGCATGCCAAGACTCCTATGTGATGGACATTCTGAAGAACAATGATGTTCCAGAAAAGTAGAAAGGTAAGACATGTCCATGGGATATCAGAAACAGGATACCACTCCTATGAAGCTGCACAAAAACTACATATTTCCATGAAGGATTTGAATGCACATGCATGCAGTATACTTACAAAGTTATATAATATAATGCTGAATTCAAGCTCTTTTAAAATGAATTCTACATTGTAATTTAGGCCTTCCACAAACTAGTTCCTGTTAGATATGTAAGGCCCCCATCGTACTTGACATAGTAGCTAAATCTATGATGGTTGAATATTAGTTTGTTCATTCATTTCCCACCTTTATTATTTTTACAAATAACTCAAAATGGTGAACACGCTTTTTTTTTTCCAACTATTTTTCCCACAACTGTGAAGTCAGTTCAGGTGAGAGAGAGAGTAGTAACTGGCCCAAAGTCACCCAGCTGGCTTTTATGTCTAAGGTAGGACTTGAACTCACAGGCCCTGGTTTTCCAGCCTGGTGCCTTAATCATTAAAACCAAACTGGCTGATGGGAATTGTAGTCTTTCAAGGTCATGCTCTGTTGGAAAAGGTTAATAGCTTTGCTAGGGAGGTGTCTTTATTTCAATTTGGAAGGGACTTAATAGGATCATTCTTAAAGATGTCAGATAAATACAGGTAGTCCTCAACTTATGACCACAACTGAGCCCAAATTTTTTATTGCTAAGGGAGACATTTGTTAAGAGAATTTTGCCCATTTTATGAGCTTTTTTGCCTCTGATGTTAGGTGAATCACTTGTTAAATTAGTAACACGGTTGTTAAGTGAATCTGGTTTCCCCATTGACATTGCTTGTCAAAAGGTTGTAAAAGGTGATCCTGGGATACTGCAATTGTCATTAATGCGACTCAATTGCCAAGCATCTGAATATTGAACACGTGACCACAGGGAAGTTGTAATGGTTGTATGAAAAAACAGTTGTAAGTCAGTGATGATGTAACTTTGGACAGTCACTAAATGAACTGTTGTAAGTTGAGGACTACCTGTAGATATAACGGATAAAATAATATAGAAGTCAATCTCCATTTTTATTTAGTAAAGTAGTATTAAATAAAACATAGAGGCAATAAATTTGGACATTTATCTATTTATCAACAGTTGTTCTATATTAACATTGATACAGGTAATCCTCGACTTACAACCTTGCAATTGAATCTAAAATTTCTGTTGTTAAGTGAGTTTTGCCCCATTTTACAACCTTTCATACCGCAATGGTTATGTGGATCTCTACAATTGATAAGTTAGTAAGCTGGTTGTTCATTGAATCTGGCTTCCCCATTGAGTTTGCTTGTTAGAAGGTTGAAAAGATGACCACATGACCCCCCCCCAGACACTATAAATATGAGTCAATTGCCAAACTTCTGAATTTTGATCATGTGACTGCAACGGTCAGAAATGTGGGGATACTACAATGGTCATAAGTGTGAAAAACGGTCATAAATCACTTTTTCAGTGCCCTTGTACATTTTAAACAAACTGTTGTAAGTCAAAGACTACCCGTAGTTACAGAGCATCCCAAAGCAATTTACAAATTCTAAAAACCTTTTAAAATAAACAAAGTAAAAGCAATGTATTAAAAGATAGTCAATGTATCAAAAGATAATGTTCTGAAAAATTTGAAAAACTGATTTATTCCCTCTGGTGCTGGGATAAGATATTAAGGGGAATTCTGCTGTAGGGTTGTATAATGTCTATTTCTTTGAGAACCTCAGCTCCATTGTGGTTTTTATTGTGATTGCTATATCGTATGGTGCTCGTTGAAGTGTTAACTTGTTAAGTGTTCAGAAACAAGAGTGAGACCGGAGAAAATCAACACAGAATGGTGGTGTTACAAAAGGCTTGTAACCAGGGTTGGGATTCAAATTTTTAACAACCAGTTCTGTGGGCATAGGTAGGTGGGTGTGGCTAGCTGGGCATGACCATGTGAATGGGTAGGTGTGGCTTCTTTCTTTTTTTTGCAGCACACCCCTTTTTTTGCTTCGTGGGACTCAGAGAAGCCTCCAGGGGGGCATTTTTGCTCCCGGAAGGCTTCCTTAGGGCCCAGGAAGGCAAAAAACAGAGTGCAGAGGGGCATGCAGCCCCCCCGTACCCCTCTGTGCACCCCTTTTTGCCTCCTGGGCCTCAGGGAAGCCTCCTGGGTGAACCAGTAAGAAAGCAAGGGGGATCCCGGCACAGCTGATCATTGGAACAACTGATCAGGAGGGGAAAAAAATACCTTTAGGAGTGACTGGGTGGGGGACAATGCAGTCAGTGATGTTGAGCATGCGTGCGATGTGGCGCATGCGCTATAAGGACTTACTGGGCAGGGAGGGAAGGGCAGGCGGAGAGGGATGAAGCCAGCCAGGGGCACGATTTGCCGGTTCTCCGAACTGTGCAAAATCATAACAACCAGTTCATAGAACCAGTCCAAACCAGTAGAATCCCACCGCTGCTTGCAGCTCTGTAATGTTATATGGGAAAGACACTGGGAAATTGGGTGAAGAGACAGTGCCAAGGGACCAGTCAGATAAGTTACAGCATGGCACACAACTGCACAATGGGATGAGCAAGAATCTCAGAAGTGACCTTTCCTAGTTTCTCAGGTTGTAAAGGAGATTTTTTTTGGGGGGGGGGGGCATTGTACTTTGAGACTTGCAAGATTCTGTCAATGTAGTTTTACAATGAAGTAGAATTACTTCATCTGATGATGATTCCCATCTGGTTTATCCCGCAAGTCTGGCAAAACCACATCAACATGGGCACGGGCCTCACTAGCCTGCAGGAAGGCTATTCTAGGTGTCTTCATGTGGAAAGTCCCCGCCTGTCATTGCCACAAAGCAGCCCATGGCATGAAGAACAGGGTCTCCTCTGAAAAGTGAAAGTGCCTAAGAAACAGATATAATCCAAGATGTTATTCCACATGTGTCGATCCTGAATTAGTTAAGGATTTACTTATGCCAACAGTTATGTTATTTGCTAGTAAGAGATCTGCTAACACTGGTATAACATGTGGGCATTTTAGCTCCCACCACCACTCCCCTGGAGTAGCATAAAAACAGAGAATTCAGTACTTAGTTGTAGCTTCCGGACCAGACTCAAAACCATCATCATTGGGTTATAGTGTGAAATAGCTTTAAATAAGTTTGCAAACATTTTGTATGAATGTAAAGTTAGAGTACAGTAGAGACCTTTTGTAAAAGACACTGAGAAATTCATTCAGAAGTCAGCACGGAATGCTTTGTCCTACACTACCCTCTTTTGGCCAAGATCTGTTTTGCAATTTGGGGCTGTTTACAATATGAAGAAAGTTTTATCTACACGAGTGTTGTAAAAGAGGCTTTTGGAAAGTCTCACATGATTTTTCCCTTCAGGAACAATTTTCAAGTTCTATATGAAAACGTCTCTCAATGCCTACATGTTGGAAAAGATCTTGTGAGGCTGTGCTCTGGCAAAGGCAGCTGCTTTATCAGTCCTAGTCTCCGTGTTTCAGACACCCACTTCCTCCAAACTCCAGGAAACAATTGGACAGTGTATTTCGGAGAAATAAAAAACTTCCTTTTTACAATCCTGTAATGCCTTAATTTGGGGTAGTCAGGTCCTCTGCATGGAGCTGAGTGTTTACTGGCCGGATGCCCTTTCTGATGCCATGTGGAGTTCACGGCAAATATTTTTTTCTTTACACCCTAGTAGAGAAACATCTGCCACTATCTAGGATTAAATAGTTGACCTTCTGAGTGGGAGGTGAGAGTCTTCACCACTAGGCCACCGTGTCACTCAAATTGGACAATGTGTTTTGGGGAAATTTAAATAATTCTAAATATCTGTTATCTAAGACTGAAATATGGGTTTCCTTGCATCTATGGGGTAGTGTTTTTTCAATCTTGGAAACTTTAATTCAATACTAGGAGTTGAAGTCCATGCCGCTTGAAATTGCCAAAACATGGAGGAGGAGGAGGAGGAGGAGGAGGAGGAGATTCGTAGCAACATAAAAATTTAGCTCCAGCAGTTGCCTTTATGGAGCACACACCTTCTGTCCATGATGAATATTCATAGCAAGGAGTCTGGTCTCCAATGGAGACAGTAAACACACACAGTGCTAATCCAGGCTCCCTGTGTCTTTTCTTTCAGCTCTGCAGGAAAAGCTCAGCAATTCAAGGCGGAGGGAGAGAAATCTTTTTAGAAAAGGGTAAAATCCCTTTACCAGTCATTGTTGTTATGTGATCAGAAAGTTTTATGATGCAGTGTGGATCTTGGAAACAACAAAGAAATATTACTTTTATTTCCAGAACATATATATATACATATATATATATACATATATACATATATATATATATACATATATACATATATATATATATATATACACACACAGATAGCCAGTCACTGTTTCATAGCCCCTGAGGGTTTTTTTTTATTCACTGAAACTTCTTTCAAGTCCCTGTCGATGTGAACTGTCCAAAAATAGATTGCTGAGTCCTCTCACAAGTGTGATCTGAAACCGCTCAGGAAACTTCAGAATTAATCATGCATTTCCCTTGCTTATTTAACATGTATGTCAAAACATTGCCTGAGAACTTGCTGAATTGGTGAGCGTACTGCCTTCTGGCTAACACTCTCCCGCACTTTTTTTTTTTCTGGGATGATCCAATTTGAAGTATTATAAACACAGTTTATACCATGGGAAGCCAAGCAAACGGAGCCAGAAGCATCCCACCAATGGGGTATCTGTTACCAGCAACCAGCTCTGCTGGAAATCTAGCCTCATATTCTTCGCTTTCATTGAGCAGCAGGGCTGGAAGAAGCCCACTTGTTACCTCAGGGAAGGCCTCAAGCAAAATCCGCTGGGAAGAGCACGAAGCTCTCAAGAGGGACCAGGTCCAACAAGACAAGATCTGGAGAGAGGCTGTGGAGGCTGAGAGGAAGGCAACCAAATACTGGTGAGTAACTCGGGAGTGTGTCTGTCTTAAAAGCTTTGATATGACTGTTCAAGTTTGATTGCGCATGCGCTGACCTGAGTAATGCTGGACCTGCCTGTGACTTTTATAGAATGAAAGCCATGTAAATTTAGAAAAAGAAAAAAAAAGTTTTAAAAAATGATAGATAAAAAGAGAAGAGATAGAAAGAGAAGAAATAGAAAGAGAAGAGATAGGGGAGACATGATAGCAGTCTTCCAATATTTGAGGGGTCAAGCCTCTCTGCCACAGAGATGAAGGGGTCAAGCTATTTTCTAAAGCACCTGTAGGCCAGACAAGGAATAATGGATGGAATCTGAACAAGGAGAGATTTAACCTGGAAGCAAGGAGATACTTTCTGACAGTGAGAACAATCAACCAATGGAACAGCTTGCCCTTGGAAGTTGTGGGAGCGCCATCACTTGAGACTTTCAAGAAGAGATTGGGCTGCCATTTGTCAGAAATGGTGTAGGGTCTTCTGCTTGGGCGAGGGGTTGGACTAGATGATCCATAAGGTCCCTTCCAACTCTGATTATCCGTTATTATTTATTATCTTAATAGAAAATGGGGGGGGGGGGAGTGGCAGTAGTTATACAATGAAACAAAATGTTAAACAGTTATGATATTTATGTAGTTACTTACCAAGCACATCTAAATTATATTAAAGTAACCAAAATATCTTTACAACTTCTGAGCAACCCTAAGTTTTGGAAATTGAAAGTTGAAACATTTGACACACCCGAGACAGGTAGCTCTAACACTGTGCATTTCTTTTAGGCCTTCAGATATTCACTTAAATTTTTGTTTGTTTGGTACAATTATACTCACAATCATAAAAGATATTATCTTTTTACATTGAAGGTATCAGAACTGGAGTTTCCTAAAGGACTACGATTCCCTGGTAAGTTAAAATCCAAACATGCATGTTAAAAATATACTGACATGTTTGAAACAGATTCCCCCCCCCCCATATTTTCATATCATATATTCATCCTGAATTAACATAGTCATAGTTTAAATGGTCAAGGATGAACAGGCGATGACCCTTAACACTTGGTGGGTTCATATATCATGTTAGACAATGGCTTGCTTTTTTTATCCTGGAGCAGATAAAATCAAGCTGGAATAGCTTGACTCACAAAAGCAGCTTATGCTCTTATCTGGTGAAGGCTCCGCACAAAATGTGGAGGGTTCCCTTGCCCTTCTCTGTATTGGGAAAGATGTAAAGAAAATCTCCCCAAATACTGTTCATGGGATAGCTCAAGTTCTCCTTCAAAGGTAGTCTTCAGTGAATAAAAAAAAGTGTCCACTGTTTCTATTTTCAAGGGCTCTATCACTACAATTCATTGTCTGTGCTTCTATCCATGGGCAAGACAAGACTTCCTTTCCCCCACTCTTATTTCTGTAATTGTCACAAGATCTGAAAGCTGCCTATTATTACTCAGGCTAGAAGAAAAGCAGGCTTTCTTTTTTTCTCGGTCTCTCATCTCTAAAAATTAGCATCTACACACCCTAAGAAGTGAATTCAATGTGTCTCAGCCAGTCATTCTGATTCTGACCAAGACCTGTGCTTTAAGACAGGAATAAATAACCATGCATTAATAATAGTTCAAAGGTATGTTAGACTATGAAAATTTGAATGTTTTAGGATGATGTTATACAGATGACTAAATAAAAAATATTGTATTAGAGTTGAGTGAACCGTGTTTTAAAACATTGCTAAATGTCCTTTAAAAAGCATGTACATTATTGTATTATTTTTATTGCAGTGATTATCTTGTATTGCAAAGTTTTTTAATTAACCGGATTAGCAGTTTGCTTTCAGCCACAGAATATAAGATAAAATTGACCTCAGGTCATTATCATAAAATACAGGCAGACACAAAAACCATTAAAGCAAGGTAATTTCCAGAATGATTGTAACAAATGTATGAAAGCCAGAACTATCTGTGTGTTTTTGTTATGATAGCCAAATCCTGCAGTTATCAGAACTTTGGTCTGTTTCAGTAGAATACTTGTAATGTTAATTGTGTTTATTCTTGAAATCTTTCCTAATTCCCAATGAATTGATTATGTGCAAAATGGCAATAGAAGCATTTCTTATTAAACTTTTATTCACATAAATAACTGAATTATATTTTTCAGGGTAAGAAAAAAGCATCTGCCCAACTCCCTGAATATATATCAATATTTTCAGACAAAATTCCCAATACCACCAACCACGTTATTGGCAGCAGAATGAACACTGATCTTGGTAAAACACTGATAAAAATGGACTATTTCCTCAATTACGGAAAAAGAAAAACCAAAACCGAGCAAGAACTCCAGCCTTCCTAGAATTAAATAGAAATCTTGCTGTTAAAAAAATGCTTATCTATACTTTTTAAAAATAGGATTAATGTCAAAAACTTTTGTGCATTTACCCTTCCAGACTTAATTCTTCTGCAGACTGGTCAGCAATGATATTTAGCAAATGAAAGTTGATAGCAAAGTTTGCTAATATTTTCCTTGAGAATAGTCACATGTAAACACTAATCTCTATGATTTTTATGTTTAGAAAATAGTGGTGCTGCACTGCATTCTTGAAAGCATAAGCTGTATGAGGCTTGTGGAGGTCCACTTTTTTCACCCCCATTCTTTAGGAAAACTATATTTCTTCCATCAAAATTAAGCCTGAGGTTTTATTGAAGATGACAGGGATGACCTGTTATACATTGCAAAGACTTGGCGTGGCATCAAATGTGTCAATTTCGGTTTTGTGTATGGATTAGGGGCAGGGTGGAAGGGAAGAGTCATCCAGGGCACCCTGGAGATTGTCAGAGGCATTGCCGTGCAGATAGCCAGATGTGAAACCCTACTTGTGAGGTTGAGTGTTAGGGGTCAATTCGAATTGCTGCACAAAACCAGACGCCCTGACTGGGCTGCTTAATGCTGTGGCTGTACCTGTTGCACCTGTCCCTGAATTGGCAAGTCCAACTTGCAGTCATTCTTGCCTTAGTCAGATTTTGATTGGGTTATTGCTATGCATTTTATACAGGGGTGGGCTTCAAAAATTTTAGCAACGGGCTGTCTCCCCAGTTGCTGGGTGGGCATGGCCATGCTGGGCGTGGCCTAGTTGGCTTCCTGCACCACAGTGGGGGGACCCTCCCTGGGCTCTGGGGCCTTTCCTCAACTCTCTGGGAGGATGAAAACAGCCCCCCTGGGCTCCGGAGGCTCTCTGGAAGCCAGAAATGGGCCTCTTTCCAGCCTTCCCAAACTTCCGAGAGGCCTTTTTTCACCCTTCCTGCTCCCTGCACTTACCTGCATCCAAAATGGGCCACATGGGGACTCCTGTGAGGGGCAGGTCGGGATGGGCAGATCCAGCCAGGAGTGGGATTTGTGGGTTCTCCAAGCTGTGCAGAATCTTAGCTAGAGGATATCCCGAACCCCTGCAAACCCCCAGCAGCCCAGCCCTGCTTTTAGATGGAGCCGCTCTTGAAGACATTGGAATGCAGCGCTGTGTGAATTGATGAGCATACCTCAATTCAACCACACACCTATTCACACACACAAACACACACACACACACAGAGGCAATACTACTATTTTATCAATTGCACTTGTTCCTAGGAATCTTCCAGGTGTAATTCAGGGTGTTGATTATCATCTACAAAGCCTTACATGACCAGATGATCTGAAGCATTACCTTCCTCCAATTATTTCTACCTGCCATGCTCTATTAGGATAGGTATGGTTTATGTCCCTTCCTTGAAACAGTACAACCTGAGGGGGTCCTAGGAGACATGCCTTTGCTGCTGCAGCACCTGATGTCTGGAATGACCTTCCCTCAATATATGGGTTGGTTCTGTCCTCGATAGCTTTTAGAAAAGCATTAAAAATGACTTCTTCTTTTAGGTATTAGAGTAAATGACTTCTTCTTTTAGGTATTAGAGTAAATGACTTCTTCTTTTAGGTATTAGAGCTAGGATGTGTTAGAAATGTGGTTCCCTAGTTGGCCGTTATTGTTGCAGTTTAATTATATTTGATTTTTTTTATTATATTGATATATGCTATCCAGGGTCATATTTATGTGAGTTGAGCAGTCTTATACTGTACATTTCTATATAAATGCCAGAACTATTGCAATAAATAAAAAAATAAAACCTCATAATCAGCATCATTAAATGCTTCTGAATATTTGCCATCAAGAATTGAGGTAGCTTTCAGAATAATTCAGGAATCTTTGGGGTAAGCAGAATGATCTTTTTCCCATCATATTCAACTCGTGCATGAAGAACATTTATATTTGTTAGAAAACTAGGCAACTGGCATGAGATAAAATTGTCCTGTGCTTAATAACTTGGCTTTCTTCTAGTCTGATTTCTTTTCTTTTTTAGTTCATATATGCCAATCAAGATCAGGAATCTATCTAGCTTTGTAATGTCTATCTAACCGGGATGGGTATTTATGTTTGTTTGGCAATCTGGAAAGGCATATATTTTACTCAAGATCTTTGACATTGGAAGTGCCCTGGACTTATAAAACCTGGATTTATTTAAGATTCCAGAAAATCCAGGAGTTTGATAACATCTTTTTTTAACCCATTTTTTCCATGTTGTCTGACTTTTATTAATATCCTTCTTATCTTCTTTACTACCCCATCTTATTGGTATTATCATGATTATTATTACTATTACTAATCATTATTATTAATACTCTGTTGTTTTGCATGTACCTCGAGAACTTCCCAACTGGAAATAAATCCCTTGTGTGCCTAATCATATTTAGCCAAATAAAAGCGCTCTGTTCTGTTCTAACTAACAACCTAATGAAGCATTTCACCTAAGCCTGTGTCTTTTAACAAAATTTGTTACAGTAATTGGAAAAGATGCTACTGGACTCCTGATTTTTGCAGCCACTGACAAACTTCTTCCCTTACAATATCCAGGATGTCAGTTTCATAGATTGTGATGTATGGTGTATTATAGCAAATTTGGATTACTTTAAGCAAGCCACTATCTCTCAAGAGTCTCCAAGCATTTCAGAGGATGTAATAAAATAATCCCAAGTGGGGACCCTTGAACTTCTGGGAGGATGAACTGAGTAATTTACACTGATAATAATCTTATACACACTATTCTTAAAATAATTTTTAAAAGGATGCTACTGTTATTAAAATTAATACTAATTAAAATCCCTTAGGTTGTTACAAAGTTATTTAACACATTAGAAATAGAAAAACAATACAAATTCATTACTAGCAATTAGCAAAATATAGCATATCAAAATTATAAAATACCTAAATGCATTAAACCAGAAGATGCCAGCAGCCTACCTGTGGCCCTATCCAACAAAATGAAATTTAATATGGAGAAAAGTTTTACACCTAGGAAAAACCCTAAGGTACAAGGCAGTGGTGCGATTCAAATTTTTTTTTACTACCGGTTCTAGGGGTGTGGCTTGGTGGGCGCGGCAAGGGAAGGATACTGTAAAATCTCCAGTCAGAGGTGGTATTTGCTGGTTCTCCGAACTACTCAAAATTTCTGCTACCGGTTCCCCATTAGGAGAATGAGCGCATACAGGGAGACGTATTGAGAGAAGTGTTGAATAACACACACACAGCACACAGACACACTGTACAGAAAATGTAGGTTTTTTACTTTCAATAAAGGTTTAAGCAAAGTTCAAGATAAGCAGTCCAAAGTCATTCACAGGTTAGATCAGTCAGTTTTCAGTCCAGGGATAATCCAAATATCAAAGTCCAGTATCAAAAACAGTTCAGTAACAGACTTACATCAAATCCAGGAATAGCAGTCAATTAGAAAGAACGGCAAAACTCTCCAACAGAAGGAAATAGAGACTCACTGAGACACACTCTCTTCTGAGACTAAGACTAAGACAACCCAGATTTCTGGCTCCATCTTATGGCCATTTGAGAAACCACACCTAATTACAGTTTTGCATTTTCTTAAAGATACAGTTTTAAAATATTTATCCTGGTTTATATATTTCCAACCCAAATAGCTGTTAGGTGATTTACATTCCTAACAGTAACTGTGAGAGGAACCTTGGAGTCTTAGCAGACAATCACTTAAACATGAGTCAGCAGTGTGCGGCGGCAACCAAAAAAGCCAATACAACCCTTGGTTGTATGAACAGAAGCATAGAATCAAATCACTTGAAGTGTCAGTACCAGTTATAAAGCCTTAGTAAGACCACACCTGGAATACTGCTTCCAGTTTTGGTCCCATTACAAAACAGATGTTGAGACTTTGGAAAAAGTGCAAAGAAGAGCAACTAAGAAGATCGAAGGTCTGGAGACTAAAGCATATGAAGGATTTGGGATTGATTAGTCTAGAAAAAATGACTAGAAAGGGACATGACAGCAGTATTCCAGTATTTGAGAGGCTGCCACAAAGAGGAGGGTGTCAATTTATTTTCCAAAATACCAGAAGGCAGGACAAGAAACAATGGATGGAAACTAATGACGGAATGAAGCAACCTGGAATTAAGGACGAACTGCCAAACAGTGAGGACAATTAACCAGTGGAACAATTCACCTTCAGAAGTTGTGGGTGATACATCACTGGAGGTTTTAAAGAAGGGACTGGACAGCAGTTGTCTGAAATGGTGTAGGGTCTCCTGCTTGACCAGAGGGCTGGACTAGAAGACCTCCAAAGTCCCTTCCAGCTCATTTTATCCTAAGTTATACTGCAGGACACAGGATGGCAGGCATGCTCGATAAGCACACCAGAAATAGTAAAAAAAGGCTTCTATGCTCAGATGGTGGTTTCAGGAATCGAAGCTGAGGGCTGCAGATAGGTTTAAATTAAGCTGAGGATGCCAAGTAATTGGAATATTTGGTTTTTTAAAAAAAACAGTTCTCCATCCTCTCCAATGAAAGAAAGGCACAATTTGGAGTTGGCACTCAGACCAGGACCTGTCCTGGCACGTAGTGTGAAGGGTTTAAAAAAATGCCTCTGGGCATATGCAAAGTACAGCTGCCTCTGCCTTGAGCAAATAAGAATAAGAAGGGGTGAGACGGAGGAAGGCCAGAATCATTTCCCTAAATCAGAGTTTTAATTGAGCGAGGCTGCCAAATCGGCGCACCGGGGCTCAACTCCGTCGTAACCATGACAACCAAGCCTACCTTTTTCTCTCTCCCCCCCCCACTCCCTTCTTTCCCCTCCCACCTTTTTAACCCTCGCCCCGCCCTCGCGCCTTCGACTCCGGTGGGCGGGGCCGCGTCCTCGGCGGGCTGGAGCTGAAGCTGGGCGCTCCCTGGCAGGAAGGAGCGGGGCGCGATGGAGCCGGGGTCGCTCTTGCTGGAGGCGGCGAACTGGAGCACCATCGCGGCGTGCCTGGTGCTCAAGTTGCCCCAGGGAGCCGCCTTGGTGGCCGCCAGGTCCGCCCGAGGAGTCAGCCTGGAAAGTTTATTGCTGGAGCTCGGCGGGTAAGGAAGGACTTCTCCGCCAAGTTGCCCGGCGGCGGCAACCTCCGCGCTCTTCTTCTCCCGCCTGCCCGGTCTTTGGGCTTCTTTTCCCGGTGTCCACGGAGGAGTTGAGACCTCCGGGTCGGCTCTTCTTCCCCTGCGAGTCCCTAACCCGTTTGGAGGCTGCGGCGGTGGCGGCTGTTTGTTGCTGGGCGGCGACGCCAAAGAAAGGGGCTCTTCTGAACCAAAGGAGAATAGAATCATAGAGTGGGAAGGGACCTTAGAGGTCTTCTAGTCCAACCCCCCCCCCCCCCCCGCTTAGGCAAGAAACCCTACACCACTATAGGAAACCCTATACAACTCCCAGCCCGAGTCAGCTTCGGGTGCGGATATATAACCACGGGTGGAGTGGGGTGTCGGAGAGAGGTTGGCGACTTCTGGCCGCGGTTTTGTTTTGGAAAAGGAGGACCTGGGACCCGAGGGGTTTTCTGAGACTCCCCGGGAACCTCATCTGGCCGCTTTTCCCGCTTCCACCTTGGGCCGCTTTGCCTCTGATTTTCCTTCTTCCCCACAGGAATTGGGCCTCCTTTCCGGGCTTCACTTCAAGCCAAAACTGCCCTTCCCTTTTTTCCTCTGGGCTTTCTCGAGTTTTTTGGCTTCCTCCTTAAACGAGTGGGTTGTAGGCCTCTAAAGGGGAGGAGATGCTGGCAAAATAACCCTTGGGTTGGAAAAGAAAACAAAAACAAAAGCCAAGGAACAAAAAGTTGCAGCTGCTGCAACCAAGACTGTTTAGCTCCCAGTTGCCTCCCTGAAAAGGAAGCGCATATAGAGCAGTGGTCGCCAACCGGTGGGCCCAGGACCGCTGGTGGTCTGCAAGAAAATTTTGGTAGTCCACAGAGAAATGTCCACTTCCCGCAAAGCAATTAATCCAGGCTGCATGGGACACACATGGCTGCGCCGCCCACATGGCCTGCCCACCCTCTGGCTCCCACCCTTCAGCCGAATGCAAATCTTATATTGAGTAGAGGCATGCAAGCTAGAACTGAAAGATAAGACCAGTGGTGGGGGAGGGAAATTGGCCCCGGGGTGGCTTGCTGACGTTGAGAAGAAAGTTGGTCCCATATTCCAGAGCTGCAGTAGTCACAGGACTGGCCCTTTGGTCATCCTAGAGCAGCTCCTCCAGTCCATGGCAGGCCGGTGCCCCTGGGTGGAGGAGCAGCTGATCTGGGATGACCAAAGGGCCAGTCCTGTGACTACTGCAGCTCTAGAATATGGGACCGACTTTCCCACCACCGTCAGCAAGCCACCGTCAGTCAAAATTCATATTAGTGGTCTGCTGGATTTAAAATTGGGAGTTTGGTGGTCCCTCAGGTCCAAAAGGTTGGCGACCCCGATCTAGAGTGAGCCTAAAACTGGACTCCAGATTCAATCCCAAGCCCTTTACCAGTTCATAAAATATTGGCAGCCCTTGATTTATGACCGCAGTTCAGCCCAACATTCCTGTGGCTAAGTTAAAACATTTGTTGAGTGGATTATGCCCCATTTTACAACTTCACCACAGTTGTTAAATGAGTCACTGCAGGTGTTAGGCGAGTAACACGGTTAAGTGAGTTGCTTCCCCGTTGACTATAAGAAGGCCACACAAGGTGATCATATGACCCTGGGACACTGCAATGGTCGTGTGAAAAATGGTCATAAGTTAACTTTTTCAGTGCTGTTGAAACTTTGAACGGTCACTAAACGAACTGTTGTAAGTCGAGGGCTATCTGTAAATACAGTAAAAGATAATATTAGTGCCATGGAACATCTCATGACTGCATTTCCCTTACCATGCCAAGTAACGTTTTCCTATCTCAGATACTTGAGGTTCCAGGCCGAACCACTGTGAGTCCCCACATTGAAGTTCTTAGGAAAACCTTTTACTTTTCTTTAGAAGTGGACTTCTGCAACTTTTTCTTCAGCTGTGCTATCTTTCTCCCTTTCTCTGGGCTGAGTAAGGTGGTTTTTCAGACTGTTTATCAGGACAACCATTAAGTCTGGGATGGTATAGGTAGGGTTGGACTAGAAGATCTCCAAGATCCCATCCAGCTCTGCTATTCTCTAAGCTGCATGCTCTGAAACCCACAGTAAGAAGACAAAGCATGGGGAATCTAAAGATATAAATCAGAGGTCTCCAAACTTGGCAACTTTAAGACTTGTGGATAGCATAGCTGGCTGGGGGATTCTGGGAGTTGAAGTCCACAAGTCTTAACGTTGTCAAGTTTGGGGACCCCTGCTTTAAATAGTAATATCTTACTTGGTTGTTGCACTTCATGAATAGTTGTGCTGAAGCTTCCCTCATGGAATGAAGAATGACATTTTATTGGGCTGATAAGTGAGAGTTTTGTAATTCTTAACTGTCTTGTTACCCTTTATCAATGCCTATCTACAAAAAAGCAAAGTGCGTTCTTGAGGCAGATAGTTGTGGTGAGATATCCCTTTCATTAAAAATGAGTTTTATTCTGTCTTCTTTGTTCTTTGTAGTTTTATAACAATATCATTACAAGCTTGTGAGTCAGTGACTCTGCGGGACTGGCATTTAAGCCTCTCCAAAAGGAAAGAAAGCCAAATTGAGCTGACCGCTGTCACAGAAAGTCAGAGAAGCTTTTAACTTTTTTGTTATGCCATTTAGTTTGAGGAGAGATTTGAGTCCTTATATTCTGATTTGAACAAACATCATTAAACAACCTAGTCAAACTCTGATCTCTTCCTTTGCCGACTCAGCCACTGTCCTCCTTTTTTAATCTCCAAATGGTTGGCAAATTAGCTTCGTTTCCCTCGCCTGTGCCTGCCAGATACTTCTCCCATCATTCTCAGCCTTATCATTGACCTTGTTAGTTGAAAATTCTGTACATCCTGGAGATTCTGGGTTGGAATATACGGAGCTACTACTTTTTGTGTGCAGATGACACTTTTGCCTTGTCCTTAGTGCTCTATGACGTCTCTACTCTTGGCTTCCATTACTTAGCATTGATATCTGCAGTAGAAAAACTTACATATAGGTAGTCCTCAACATACGACCATAATGAAGTCTGCCCATTATGGACCTATGTTGTGAAGGGGCTCATCACATGACCGACCTGATTTTATGACCTTTTATTACACCAACTGTTAAGCAAACTCACCGTTTGTTGTGGACATTTTTGCCAAAAGCAAGAAGTGAACATTGGTTTTCAGCAAAAAAAAAACATAAAAATTGGTCACATGATTGCAGGATACTACATATAGCCATAAATGCAGGAAAGTTATGTGGTTGCGATACGTATATTGAGATGCAAAGCAGACAAGATTTTAGGTCCAGTCCAGGGGTGGGATCCAACAGGGTTAACTACCAGTTTGGTGATTTATGAGGTTCGGTGATTTACGATGTGCTTCCCTGCACGCTGCCCACCTGTAGTCATCCTCAGCATGCTGTATGCAGAGAAGCAGCCTTTGAAAAAACACCTTTTTCCTGCTTTTTTAACTGCAGCTGTGCCTCCCATGGCAGCTGAAGTTGAAAAAGCAGGAAATAAAGATCAGGTAAGAGCCCGGGCAGGTGGGTGGGCAAAAACATCAGCAGACATAGAACCGGTTCTATGTCTGCTGCTCTTCAGAGCTACCATTTCTACAGAGGTGGACAGAACTGGTAGAAACCCACCCCTGGTCCAGTCTGAGCAGAGGTATTCTTACTCGTAGAAAGAGCCACTTCTGGTCTCACATAGGAACTCTGCAGTTCATGAAAGCATGCATTTTGATAAAAGGTGATGATTCTGTAAGGTGAACTCAAACAGGTATTTTACCGAATCCATGTCAGGTATTGTGCAGCTTCTTTAGGCAAGGCAAGCGTGCTTCGCAAGATACAAAATACTTTCTCCTGCTTCAGAACCAAGTTCCGCATACCTCTGTTATGTGGTATTGAAACCAAGATTGGCACAAAATAGCATTTCTTCCTTTATATGGGACAGCTTTCTTTTGGGAGTCTACTCCTCTGGCATGTTTTGTGGGAATTGAACACCCAGCATTCTAGATCATATCAAAACAGTGAAGTTTGAGGAAGAGGTTCTACTAGAATTAACATAGAATGGGGTCCAGACAGATGACGATTCCAGTATTTGGCTTTGAAAAGCTTCTAGGACAGAGATGTATTCTGTATTTACTAGCATTAAAATGGGCAGGAGATCTCTCTTGAGAGACCAGTGCTGCAAAAAAGAACATGTTTATGCTTTATTTTCAATATTTGCTGAGTTGACACAAGTGTTCCCTTGTAAAAGCTGTATTCCTAGGGCAGGCTGTACTTACTTACATGCATGTGAGGAAAGGCTCTGAGACTGTTTTCACAAGATCAAAAAATACCGTATCCCAAAGCTGCATATATTTTTAAGTGCATTTGAACTTACTGCTAATCCCAGTCCAGGAAAGAGAAAAAAATACCAGCACAAAGTTTACTACAGTTTTTAACAGGAAACCAGGCCTTCTTGCTATTTATGAACTAATCCCATGTATAAACCTGCAGAGGTTTGAATTTTTCTCCAAGTGTTTTGTATTAAAAGTACAGCTTCGTTCCAAACATGGCACTAGACCAAACATGTGAAATCCAGCTTTCTTCCCCTTCTTGGTTCCTATTGTTTCCTGTTATCATGTCATAATATCACAGTTGGTAAAAATCACAATTGGCAGAATTAACCTTCTAATTAAATTTTAGCAGCAAATCAGGTTAAGATTCCAGGTGCTATAAATGCTGTGTCCCTGGCTTTTATTTGACTGCTTCCTTTTCTATCTCCTGCCTTGTTTTGAATGTTGAATGCTTTTAATATTTATGATTTTAATTGCAAGCAACTCAGAGTCGCTGTTCAGAGTGAGGTAAGGTGGTATATAAACTGAATAAATGCAATGCAGTACAATACAATACAATACAATACAATACAATACAATAATACAATACAATACAATACAATACAATACTAATACTATACTATACTATACTATACTATACTATACTATACTATACTAT